AAGTTGTCTGCAAGACTATTCAAGAATCACACATCACACAGTACATATTCCATATTTCCTTTGCAGCTGTTTATTAGCTAAATGTACACTTAAATTGTAATGCATACACACACTGGGCAGTGGGGGGCAGAGAAGGTTAGTGCTAATAATAAATCTGCTTAAGCCCAAATTACAATGTCCTGTTGCCAGAAGGTACTTTAATAGGACCTGAGACTTGAACATCTTACTGACATGGGAATATTATAAACGGTTGAATGAAAATAAAGTTATTGCAAATTGTTTTGTATAATATTGGTAATCTTTTGTCATTTTAGTGAACACTAAAGCTAAAATGTAAGACCGTATTTGGGATTTCCTCTTTGGTAATCTCTTTAGAATTCTCTAAAACTTGAACTGCAGCTGCATAACTGAGATTCCATGTTAAAATATCTAAATATATTTAGCCTTCCTGATTATAATAGTTGCATGTTCTTTCCCACCATGCTATTGTGTGACATTCTGCATGAGGCAGTCTATTAACTGTCCATATGTAGTGCCAATATTAGTTAAATGAACCTGAAATATTTTTACAAGTTAAGGAAGGGATTGCTTACTCAGAAGAGTTTATGATTTGACGCCTGTGAATTCTGGCATGCAACCAAATTGCTGCGTTAGATGTTTGGAAGGGAGTTGATAGTTGTCTGGTCAAATTCCAACCTTGCCCATGAACACATATCAGCAGGATCCTTAAGATCGAAACTATCCCTCTAGATGGTCATTCAGCCTTCCAAGAGGATGCTGCATCTACCTAGGACAGCTTGCTTTGTTACCCATCCATTTTTATAATAATCCTAAATAGTTGTTTCTATTTGTGCTCAAAGCATATCTAATCTTACAACCGCCATATAAGTAATGTCTGTATGCCTATGTTATAGATGAGTGATTGGGGAAGAGTGGTTTGCCTAATGTCACCTGAAAAGTTCACAGTGGAAAGTGCAGCAGAATTGTTCAGGAGGGCATTTTATTAAGAAAACCAGGTTATATTTTTAATGTGTGTGGAAATTTTAAGCAGTTTTCATTGCATTGTTTGCTAATTTTTAATTCTAGCTTTCCATTTTTTTGCTCATTCATTAGGATTTAAGTATTTAAATCTCTAAAGTCTTTTTTGCTTATATGTACACAATCTCTGTGCCTAATTATTAAATAGCCAATAATCTAAATTGAAAACGATCATAGAGACAGACTTCTTATTAAAGTTACTCAGTGAGACAAGAAGACTATAATTAAAAGGTCATCAAAAAAGTGAGATAAATGGAATATAAATATATATTATATTATTATATAATTGATATTATCTATTGTCTCATAATTCAGGTTATGACTTCAGTTAGTGTATAAATTTATCATCTGACCTTTATTTGAATACATTATAACATTTCCTCTCTTACTTTAGAGTTGGGGTATTGGCAGTTCTGGTAATTAATGAAAGGTAACCAAACTTGTACACATTTTTCTTACTTGATCAGGATTTATGAGCCCAATTCATTTAGATGTCATAATCTTACTCATTATCATCACAAACCAAATCGTAACTAACTATTGGTGTTTTCTTGGCATCTCTTTCTGCTTCCAAACTTGTGCTAGCACCATTCTAACCACCATAAAAAATTAGTTAACAAAACCACATGTTTCATTTTGACATATATCCTTCAGGATCAATTTAGGCAGTTAGAGCTGAGGAGTCAATTTGAAGGTATATCCTATTATAATTTTCTTATGAACTAAAGTTTCAAGTTAAGAGCCATAGCACAGTTCCACCACAAATGACTGCCCAGAAATTTTAGCCAAACTAGTCGGCACAGTAAAGGAGAAAGAGGACAGCTGTGCTCAAGGGAGACAAAAGTGTGCTGCTATACAGCCTAAGAAAGAAATGTGACCTCTTGGATCTATCCATCTACAAAGATTTAGGGCATATATTTAGGTATTTCCTTCATAAAGATCCAGTTAAGTCAATCAAATGCCTTTTTTGGCTTCTACAAAATTAAATATTGCTGAGATATGTCATTGTTTTACCAAGTTCATCATATTAATCATCCTTTTAATATTTGGGTTATTTGGAGACCTGGTAAAGTCTGTCTGATATGTTCCAATATATTCATTTACTGGTTTTAGATGGTTAAATAATATAGATATTAATACTTTAAAGTCTGTGTTTAATGAAATGGTTCTGTAGGGCTTAGAATCATCCTTTCCAGGTTTTAATGTATTAATGTAACATAATATTATAACAAATATTAATGTAAAATAAGCATCTGTCCTATTTTGAGCCAATTTCCTAGTAGAAAGAACAAAATATGCATAGTTTTAGCAAATACAAAACTAGTTCTTCTTTAAAAGTAACATAAAGTTCATTAGCCAGTCCATTAGGACAAGACCTTCCCCCAACTTTAAATTATTTATTGCTCAAATAATTATTTGCTTCTTTTATAATTATAATTTCTTCCATCTATAAATTGGTGATATTCCTTTGGCAATTGTGGAGGCCTAATTACCTTGAAATAATCTTCAATTTTGTTTTTAAGAGGATCTAGTATAACTTAAAATATTTTAAAATTCTTCAGTAATTGATTCTTCTTTACTAAGAATTTCCCATGTATCCCAGTCACTTTCTCTGCTAATAACTGGGCCAATTGTTTACCTAGCTTGTTGCCAAATTCAGATCCTTTTAAAAGGATCTGCTATATGTGCATCTACTAGTTTAACCTGTCTCTCTTAATACATCATTTTCAGTTTTGAGAACCCATAGGTATTTTTAATAATTTTTAGTTAATACTGTCATTCCAAATGTTATTACATTTATTTATGTAGGTCTATTGCAAGAGCAAAAGGCGATGCATACATACTTTAGAAGTTTGGCAAACTAGATCAAAATTATTCTGTACATTATAATTAATTCCAAAGCATTATCTTATTTCTGTTTTTACTTAGATTTAGGTGGGTAGCCATGTTCATCTGAAGCAACAGAACAAAGTTTGACTCTAGAGTTAACAAACAAATTCAAGAACTCAGTGATTTAGCATGTGTAGTGAGAGAAGAACGTGATATCTCTGTTAAGCTCTGGGGGTTCCATTGTCCTCAGGGTTGTAATAACTTGTTATTCAGCTGTCTGGGAGTTTGTTAACTCTTTTATTATCTGTATACTTATTTGCTGCTATTCACAGGTTTTACCAATGGCTTTAATCTAATATTCGCTATCCAGGGCTCTTTTTGTAGCAGGAACTCCTTTGCATATTAGGCGACACACCCCTAATGTAGCCAATCTTCCAAGAGCTTACAGAGCTTACAGAGCTCTTCTTACAGGGGCTACTGTAAGCTCTTGGAGGATTGGTTAGGCAAGCCAAGTCGCGGCGGGGGATCCGCATGTCTTCACAGGATCCCTGCCGCGGGGGACAGTGACACGCGTTGCACTGCCATCGCCAGGATGTGACGCTACGCGTCGCTCTGGCAACGGGACTCCAAACAGCCTCTCTCCACTCCCTCTTTTAGACCGTGAACCTTAAATTATTTATTTATTTGATTTATAGACTGCCTTTCCCTATGCAGGGCTCAGGGCAGTGAACAACATCTCAATAAATAGTTTTACAGATGCGATTAAAAATTCTCCTTAATTTATTATAAATCTCCAGTGCCCTCCTTCAAAGTTTTTACCTGTTCTTCCTGTGTGCCAAAATCCTTTTCTAATAATCTGTAGGCTTGTCTCTACTTTATCTGTGCTTTCACTACTCTCTTTACAGTGTTCCTTTAAGTCATCTATTATTTTGAGTGTTTCCATTAGCTTGGATAATTCCAGCTTTCTTGCACTGCTTGTTCATCCTGTCCTATTGCATTGTTTTAAAAATAGCATAATTTGCCTTCAGCCTCAGCAACAATGGTTGGCCATTAGATTGGCTCATTAGCTCATTTATAGGCTCATCTTTTGCCTAAAGAGGTTTTGCCTAACACAGTTGTACCCTTTGAAGACTATTAACTTCAGGGGACCTAGAGAAGAGTGTAACTTTGCTTGAGACGTTTGGCTGTCAATTGAGTTAATTGCTGCTGCTCCATCCCTGGATAGATTTTGCACTGAACTTTTCTCCTGTTTGCTTCTCACAGCCTTCTGGTTACTGGAGAGCTGTAGTTGTGCCATGAGTCTCTACCTTCCCATCTTCTTTTCCCTTGCATGGACTTCCTTCACTGCTCCTTCACCTTGAAGGTGCACTGCCTGAAAGTGGCATGCAGATAGATCATACAGCTTATAGCAAGGCCATCTGAGGGCACATCCTAATTGTTTTCATTTTTAAAAAAATCTGCAGTTGAAGCTAAGCCGTTTGTCTGTCGTTGCATTTAATTTTTGTTTTCAGCCAAGACAATGGAGATGTTTGTGCTATTGTAAATACAAAGCTGGGCGATTGGGGAAGGGGATAAGTGACTGGGAAATCACTTCCTCACTGAAGTCTATAGTTCTTAGGCGCATCTTTTGCAAGCCCTTTCCACGACCATTTATTTTAATCGCTGACTGCAACATTATCAGACAAAACTGAGTGTCCCTTTGGTCCTCGTATGGGCAGCCAGGAGAGGGTGGCGAAAAACAGAACAGCTTTCAAAAGCGAAACACAGTAATTACACAAAGGGAGACCGCACAGCCCTTTGCAAAGAGGCCTGGGCTCTTTGGTATCCTGAGTTCTCTTCTGCATCAGACCCACCTCCTCTTGCAGAGTCTGACTTGCTCAGCCCGTTGTCTCTTCCATCAGGGAACTATTGTGTGTTGCAGGGAGGGGCTTAAATATCCCTCCCCTCCAAATGAACTTTCTTGAAATTGCTTAGCTTTTGTTTTTTAAAAAAATTGGGATATCCTGATCACAGACTCCCTGCATCATGTCTCTTTTTGTCCCTGGTTGTCTGGGTTCAGGTGGAAGCTTACAGAGAGCACATTGCATTCTAGACAGAAACCCCTTTTTCCACTTAGCAAAAGAATTACTCACTGGCAAGCTGGAACACAGCGGCGATGGCTTCCTCCCACCACTGGGTATCCTGAGAGATGATGGGCAGTTCCACCAGGCCCAGCATGAAGAGGAGCTGTCCAGCCGTCAGAGCGACAGTGGCGATCATGTTACAGGCCCGCATCATGTCAAACTGCACTGCAAGGGGGCAAAAAGTGAAAGGGCGTCACATTAGTGCAAAGGCAGGTGAGCAGAGAAGCATACAGAATTGCTAGCCTTGGTCTTTGGTCCATGACCAGTCTTCCTGTCCTGCTGTCTTGGAAGATTCTTGCCCTCCCTTGTCTAATAAGCTTTTTACCCAAAACAGGTTATGTAGAAAGGTGATGTGTGTGTACCTGATAAAGCAGGTTATCACGGCCAGGAGAAAGGCAGCAGTGAACAGCTTTGCATTAGTATAAATTTCAGTAAAGCAGCCAGCTAGCTCAGCTGTAGTAAGGTCACAGCTAAGGCTCAGGTTTGCATCATTAACCAGGTCAGATTTGGGTGTTATAGAGTTATGAAGTACCTTGAAGAACTGAGCTGGATGAGATTCAGTTGATGATTAAGAAAAAGCTGCCATTGCTGCCTCTCCTTAGGCCTGCAAATGAGCTTGGTGACATGGCTATGTCAATTTCATCCCAAGTCTTCTGCCAGTGGCAGTCTGGGCATATACCAATCTATTACATATCCTCCAGCTCCTTCATAAACTATGGAGCTGGGTGCCTACAAGAGAGGCAGGACAGGATACTGAAGAATGACTCTATGATACTTGCTGGGCCATCATTCCATGCAGCTAACAAGAGCCTCAACAAAGCCATTAGTGATGTTCTCAAAATCCTTCAGAGCTGTGTGGACTCCAGTAGGATCCCTGCGTCTCCAAGAACAGACAATCCTAATGTGTCCACCACCCCTGCATGAGGAGTCGACAAGTTCAGTCTGCTTTCAGAAGGTAATGATCCAATCACAACAGGGACAGAAGATTCAGCCCCCCCCAGTTAAATCACCAGTAAACCTCTCATAACACAAAAGAAGACACCATGTGCACCCCTTTTTCATGCAATATGGAACAGTCTCCTTGTCATGGTACCCATGAAGTCTTTGATCTGATGACACAGCCTTGGCACATATATTAAAATTCCCTAAGCAGTGTTCCCTTTAAGCTGAGTTAGTGTGAACTAGCTCACAGTTTTTTAGCCTTTGGCTCACAGTTTTTTGTCTTAGCTCTGGAAGGATGGCTCCAGAGCAAACTGATTTATGCAGTAGCCAAAACACTCGCTCACAACATTAATGCCAGTAGCTCACAAAGTAGAATTTTTTCTCACAAGACTCTACAGCTTAGATTATTGCCCCTAAGTACAATAATCTTTTGGGCTCCTCAACACCAAGTCCAAGACCATATCAGTCAGCTATCCAGGGAGACCACTGGATAGCTAGGTGGATTGTAAACCAGCAGGGTCCCTAGCCTGTCCCTGGTAGTCAAAAACAAGGTGTGTACAATCAAAGCTGTCTGGAATGAGTAGCTACTGATGGAAAAGGCACATGGAAAAGAACTGCTCCCCACCCCACTGACATCAACGAAGACAGAGTAACAACATTGGATTAATCCAGGCAGGTTTGGTCAAACAAGCCATGTTTACTTGCTTCTCTTACCAAGTTAGATAATATAGTAAAGGTAAAGGTTCCCTTGGTCGAAAGTCAGTTGAATCCGATTCTAGGGTTGCGGTGCCGAAGACCAAATCCAAGACCATATCAGTCAGCTATCCAGGGAGACGACTGAAGAGCCAGCGCTGTCCGAAGACATTTCCGTGGTCATGTGGCCGGCATGACTAAACACCAAGGCGCACGGAACGCTGTTACCTTCCCACTGAGGTGGTACCTATTTATCTACTTGCAATTTCTTGCTTTCGAACTGCTAGGTCGGCAGGAGCTGGAACGAGAGACGGGAGCTCACTCCGTCATGCGGCGCACTCGGGTCTCGAACTGCTGAACTACCGACCTTCCACAGCCTGCAGTTCAGCGTCTTAACCACTTGAGCCACTGCAGCTCCTAGTTAGATATTACAGAGATTTTATTTTCCATGGACCTCGTATTGCACAATACAGTAGCAAGGTCTTTGGTTTTCACTAAGCCAGTCAGCTGCTCTTTCTGAGAGAGGAAGTGAGAGAAAATGGAGAAGAGATGCCTCTCCTGTGCTTGGCTATTTGATGTGCCTTAAAGTACATTTTGGAAAGTGTCAGGGCCCCACCCGGGCTGGACTCAGACATATACTCCTTCATGTATGGAGAGGAGGAGCTGGAAGATGCCTTACAGGAAGATCAAGGGACTCAGGTGATTCCCAGCATCACTGAACTGGAACCAGAGCCCCTGGACTTTGAGGAGTTGGCTGAGAACACTGCTCCCAAAGCCTCAGTTCAAGAGGAAGCTGCCAGCTCACCAGATCCTGTGGCAGCTGCCCCTCTCTCCTGTACATAAGAGAAGCCATGTCGGATCAGGCCAATGGCCCATCCAGTCCAACACTCTGTGTCACACAGTGGCCAAAACCAGGTGACCCTAGCCCTCCAGGTTCCCTCCACCCATCCAGCTGCTGCCGCTAAGCCTGATTGCTGCTCTGGGGGTATGTTGTTCCTTGCAGGATTGGCTCTCTGTCAAGCCCTAGCTGGATGAGGCCCAGGGACAGTTGGGGCTGCTTTCACTTCCATAGGGCCTGCAAGACGGAGCTCTTCCGCCAGGCTTTCGCATAGGGGCCGCCGCTGCCACCACCACCAACGGTGGCGATACCATCGGGATGAGGAATCGCCCTTGGAAGTTCCGCCATAAATTGCACGGCACTGACAAGGTGGGATTGGCTTGAACTATCTGCTGGACAGTGCCACCCAATGGGGAGGATTGAGGATGCCATCAACACCACTCAAGACCGTCAAGACCACTCAAGAAAGCACTTTATTACTGTTATTGGTATTATCATGTGATTTTACTGTTTTATCGGGTTTTATGTATGGGCTCCTGCCACTTGTAAGCCGCCCTGAGCCCGCTCGCGGGGAGGGCGGGGTAAAAAATGCCTAAATAAATAAATAGTAGCTAAGCACTAGGCAGAGTCAGAAGGCCTTGGTGGTCCAAACAGTTCACAGAGGCCTGCTAAACCAGCAAACCTGGACGCAGCAAACTCTAGGCTATTACCCAGGCTTTAGTGCTGCCTTAATGCATAGACCCGAGCCTCCAGCCCCTGTGTGGATCCCTGCTCCTGTGGAATTCATAGCCAGGTCCAGGACACAGCTGCTAAGACAGAACAGGAAGTGGGCTCATGTGCACAAAACGTGCACTTATATGATGTATGTATGGACCTCGTGTGATAACTGTTTCAGTGCTTTGGAGATGACTTTTTATGACAAATGGGTAGGTCTTTTGTAATGAGTGAATGGCAAAATGAATGACATCTGTTCCTCTGGGGATATATACAGTTTGGGTAATGACTTCTCGTATCATATTGTGGACTACTTTGAACGAACATATTGTGATTCTGTGGCATGTGACGGCTAGTTTTGAATTTTAGCCTTGGGTACTGCTTGTTTGTTTGTATTGCTGATGTTCTTTCATTGCTTGATAGAGGGCTCAGCAGTCTCTACCTACAAAAGTATTTTTCACTTGATGAGTGGGCTAGAGTGTAGGACTAGGATCTGGGAGACCCGGGTTCAAATCCCCACTCTGCCATGGAAGCCTGCTGGGTGACCGTGGGCCAGTTACTCTCTCTCAGCCCAATCTACCTCACAGGGTCATTGCTGTGAAAGTAAAATAGAAATGAGGAACATGATGTCACCAACTTTGGGTCCCCACTGGGAGAAAAGTGAGCTGTAAACATCTAATAATTAAAATAGGACCCAGTCTGCTGAAAACTCAGACAGAAGATGAACGCATTGTTTAAAGAGCAGTGGCAGTGTTATAGTACACATTTGTAGCATAGAATACATTCGAGTGGTACAGTCTTGTGCCTTAAACTTGCCATATGTAGCTATTTTTTGATATGGTGCATAGTATTTGTCCATATAACTGACTTCTAAATTTATATAAGCCAGTCTGATTCTTTATGCAAACATGTACAAGTTAGGATGGCTGTTCGATTGGTGTACTGTTACACTAGATCATTCACTGAAAAGTTCTGTGTTTTTCCCTATTTTCCTTTTTAACCTGGTGGATTTCCTGCTTTTTATCCCTTTCCTTCCTTTCCCTCTAGGCTTTGTAAGTGTCGCTGTGCCAGCACAACATCCTATCATCCTGCTGTTTGCAAGCAGCCATTCCTCTACTGTTCACAAGCAGCGATTCCTTGCCGTGCAGATGGGACTGCTGGTGGTGGATTTCACCCCACAGCCTTTTTACACAGCTGAAGGGTCCCTCGTTTGCATTCAGCTGCAAGGTCAACACAGCATGTAATGCAGCCCTAACTTCCCCATAAAAATCCATCTGTACAGGTAGAGATTCCACTACATGTCCATTTCACCTTTGGTGAAGGTTTATCTTCTCTCTCCCTTTCCCCCCATTTTTCCTTTTGTTTTCAACTAAATTGTTGACTGTTCCTTGCCTTTTGGCACTCCAGAATAGGGTTGTTTTAGTGCAAGAGGGAAAGCTTCAGTACAGCTTGGGCTCGGGGCACTTGAGGGACTGCCTGCTTCACTGTCCAGCCCTGTCAAAGTGAAGGGCCTCTTCCTGAGCCCTGCTCTCTGTTCCCCTGCCCATGGTTGTGAGCCAGGTAGTGACCAGAGACAGGGCTTTCTTAGGGGTGGCCCCTCTCATGTGGAATGACCTCCCCCTAGAGCTTGCTTGGCTTTATTCCCTTTGGGCACAAGGCCCAAATATTTCTTCTAAACCAGGATTTTAACTGAAGATTTCCATCTTTTAAAAATCCATTTTCACAGGCTGCTTCTACCCACTTTAAGAAATATCATATTAGGCTGCTGAGTGATGTTTGATGGCTCGTTGTGAGCTTTCTTGTACAGGCCTTTGGAAAGGGGGCAAATACAGTTGCAAAATCAATAAAAGGAGATAAGGTTGGTCTGGCATGACTTATTCTTGATAAACCCATGCTGGCTACTACCAGTTAACTCATTCCGTTCAAGGTGCTCACAGACAGAGCGTTTAATCATCTACTCTAGAATTTTCCCAGGTAT